GTGTTGCGACGAGGTAGTTGTTTTCTGTGTTTAGCTGTTGGTGGCGCCAGGTATAAATGTGGCGCGGGTCAGATGTGACCCAATTTGTTGGTCGATTGGAGATATTTAGCCAGTGCTCTGACTATTTGGTATTTTTCTTGTGACGAGTGGTCACCGCCTCCTAATATATGCTCGATGGTAAAGGGTATTTTAAGTGCGATAAAGACTTGTTTGAAATTTACTCTGGCACTATAATGTCGGAAGCAGTGCAGGAGATAGTGTTCGACTGTTTCAGGCACCTGACAGTGAGTACAGAGTTCGTTGATGTCTGTTCTGTACTTAGAGCTGTGTGCTGCTAGTTTGGTGTGTCCCAGCCTTAATCTGGTCATCGTTACATCAATTTCTCTGCTTTTATATCGGACATGTTTCCAAGTTTCCCATTTCTTTTTAATGGACCCATAGTGCAAAGGTGAGCATAACGTTTTCCAGTTTGTTGCAAAATCCTGGGAGATGGTATCTTTGAAGGCTCCTTTACGTGCAACATGGGGAATTGGATGACGGGTGAGGTGAGGCGTGTCGTGCATTGCTTTGGCTAGTTGGTCTACAAGTTCATTATGGAGAATACCACAATGTGCTGGGACCCATTGGATAGAGGTGTCATAACCGTTCAATTGATGTTTGTGAAGAAGTTGAAGGCATGGGTAGACAATCTCCTTGCATGTTTTCGAAGAGTACGAAATTGCTTGAATCGCGCTCTTGGAGTCACTACAGATTGTATATATCCCAACTGGTAATGTTGTGATGATTTGGAGAGCTTGATACAAGGCATATAATTCCGCTGTGAAAATAGATAGTTGGTTTGGTAACCGCCATCCCTGCTTGAGATGGTATTCCGGTATCCATACAGCGCAAGTGACCGAGGGTACGTTGTTCGTGAAGATGCGAGACCCATCTGTGTAAATCTCTGTGGTATTTGGGTAGCAATTTTTCATTGTTGAGACAAAGACTGAGGCTATGGCTGAGTTTGGTGCAGATTTTGGAATGTTGTCCTCGAGTTGTATTGCTGTATTAGGAGTTGTATAAAGCCAAGGTGGAATGGGGGGAACAGGAGGTTGGGTTTCACAGTTTTGAAGTAGGGAGAGGTCTATATTGAGGTTATTTATTAATATTTTAGGTTATTTATATGAGGTCTATATTGAGGTATTGTGAGTTAAAAATACCTGAGGACATCCATGTCCATTCTATATAGTACGGAGATCAAACCTGAACAGCATAATATAAATGGGGTCTAACAAGAGTTAAAATAGTGCTGAAGAGTTAGATGTTATTAGATCTAATTAGCATTAGGTGTCTTATTGTAAATTTCAAGAAATAAATGCCGGTATCCTGTTAACTTTATTCTGAACATTTATGCGTTGATTTGTTTGTCTTAAAATCCCAAGTAATCATGACACTCGGATCTGTTGTTCACATTGTCCAGCTAATATAAAAAAAACTTTTCCTAACCCCTACAATTTTTTCTGCATTAAACTGCATATGCCAATTTTTCTTCCATTGTATAAGTCTGTCTAGAGTCTTGTAGCCCAGTATCAAATGCTTTGCCAAATTCGTGATATAGAATGGTACAATCCTTAACACTGTCAAATGGTTGAGAGGTGTTGGGAGAGTTGTTGAGAGTATATTGGTTAATACAGCCGTTGACACCGTGCCCAGGTGGCGCTGCTGAGGTACAGTGACGGGGTGACTGCTCACTGTGAGCTACAGTGACGGGGAGACAGTGCTCACTGTGAGCTACAGTGACGGGGAGACAGTGCTCACTGTGAGCTACAGTGACGGGGAGACAGTGCTCACTGTGAGTTACAGTGACGGGGAGACAGTGCTCACTGTGAGTTACAGTGACGGGGAGACAGTGCTCACTGTGAGTTACAGTGACGGGGAGACAGTGCTCACTGTGAGTTACAGTGACGGGGAGACAGTGCTCACTGTGAGTTACAGTGACGGGGAGACAGTGCTCACTGTGAGTTACAGTGACGGGGAGACAGTGCTCACTGTGAGTTACAGTGACGGGGAGACAGTGCTCACTGTGAGCTACAGTGACGGGGAGACAGTGCTCACTGTGAGCTACAGTGACGAAAACAGTGCTCACTGTGAGCTACAGTGACGAAAACAGTGCTTGATACTGGGAGGTGTGATGTTTGCGTGTGTGCTGGGGCTGGATATGTGTGTGTGTGTGTGTGTGTGTGTGTGTGTGTGTGTGTGTGTACTCACCTATATGTACTCACCTATATGTGCTTGCAGGATCGAGCATTGACTCTTGGATCCCGCCTTTCGAGCATCGGTTGTTTACAGCAATGACTCCTGTCCCATTTCCCTATCATACCTGGTTTTAAAATTATGAATAGTATTTGCTTCCACAACCTGTTCCTGAAGTGCATTCCATTTCCCCACTACTCTCACGCTAAAAGAAAACTTCCTTACATCTCTGTGACTCATCTGAGTTTCAAGCTTCCATCCATGTCCTCTCGTTCTGTTACTATTCCGTGTGAACATTTCGTCTATGTCCACTCTGTCAATTCCTCTGAGTATCTTATACGTTCCTATCATGTCCCCCCTCTCCCTTCTTCTTTCTAGTGTCGTAAGGCACAGTTCCCTCAGGCGCTCTTCATACCCCATCCCTCGTAGCTCTGGGACGAGTCTCGTTGCAAACCTCTGAACCTTTTCCAGTTTCATTATATGCTTCTTCAGATGGGGACTCCATGATGAGGCGGCATACTCTAAGACTGGCCTTACGTAGGCAGTGTAAAGCGCCCTAAATGCCTCCTTACTTAGGTTTCTGAATGATGTTCTAACTTTTGCCAGTGTAGAGTACGCTGCTGTCGTTATCCTATTAATATGTGCCTCAGGAGATAGATTAGGTGTTACGTCCACCCCCAGGTCTCTTTCACGCGTCGTTACAGGTAGGCTGTTCCCCTTCATTGTGTACTGTCCCTTTGGTCTCCTATCTCCTAGTCCCATTTCCATAACTTTACATTTGCTCGTGTTGAATTCTAGTAGCCATTTCTCTGACCATCTCTGCAATCTGTTCAGGTCCTCTTGGAGGATCCTGCAATCCTCATCTGTCACAACTCTTCTCATCAACTTTGCATCATCCGCAAACATCGACATGTAGGACTCTACGCCTGTAAACATGTCGTTAACATATACAAGAAATAGAATTGGTCCCAGCACCGATCCTTGTGGTACTCCACTTGTTACTGTTCGCCAGTCCGACTTCTCGCCCCTTACCGTAACTCTTTGGCTCCTTCCTGTTAGGTAGTTCCTTGTGTGTGTGTGTGTGTGTGTGTGTGTGTGTGTGTGTGTGTGTGTGTGTGTGTGTGTGTGTGTGTGTGTGTGTGTGTGTGTGGGGTGTGTGTGTGGTGTGTGTGTGTGTGTGGGGGGGGGGGTGGCGTGAGTACGTGTGAGGAGGGAAGTGGGGTGCGCTGGCGTCGAGTAACCGCCAGTGTGGCCCTCCCCCACAACGTAACGTCTGTCCCTCCCCTCCCTCTCCCCCCCCCCCTTTTTCACTATCGCTCCCCTGCCAAGTTTTCCCTGCAAACTTCCTTCCCTGTCCCAATGATCAGGGTATATACCATGTTTACCTTCAGACTGCTATACGGAGATTTACCCCACTCTCCTCTTCCCCACTTCCCTTCTATGCCAGTATTTTCCCCTCACATGGCCTTCACAGGACCTTCACCCCTCCCTCATCCTCTACGCACCCCCCACCAAGCCGCCACCGCCGCCACCTCTTACCTCCCACTAACAGCAGTACTGCACTTGCTGCCAGGCCGTCCACCTCTCAGCTGCCCCGGTTACCAATTAATAGTCAGGAGTATTGCCTCATATTTACTCGACTTGGGCTGAGAAGAAGCGGTGTTCAACGTGCGGGAGATCCCAGTAATGTCAGGAGTTTCCGCAGTGCAACAAGTGAGGTTAGTGGCCCCGGGCGCCGTGCTCGCCAGCGTATGCCACAGGCGCACCCTCGCCACTCCTGACAGCGTATGGTGCCCCCAATTGTATTTAAAAGCTCGTGTTTTTAAATCCGGGGGAAGCTATAGAGGCAGCAAGGCTGGTGGCAGCGACGAGGCTCCAACTAGCCGGGAAGGAGAATGAAACGTGATCCAGTCAGAAAATAATAGCGGAAGATTAGGCTATAGCCTCACTAGGGATGATTGTGTGTTGTCTGATGATAGGCCTTCTGTATTTTCGCGCTTCGATGTAGTGAAATAACACTGACAGATAATCACCAGGCAGCAAGCCGAAGAGCTTTCACCAAACTTAGCCATCTGTCACCAAAGCAATTTGGCCATATATTATCAAATGAGTCGCCGTATCACACCACAACAACGGAATTGGTCATCTCTAACCAAAACAACTCGTTTACCTCTAACCAAATGAGCTTGGCCATCTTCAGCCAAAACAACTTGGCCATCTTTCTTCAAATCATTTTGGCAATATCTTACGCTTTCATAAAAGCATCTTCACGTGTACTTCAAAGCAACAATAGAAAAATTGCGGTTTCCACAATGACCTTGTGATGTGTCCACCAATATTGGTTAAGGACTTGCTTAACCTGTTGAGTTAATGACTTGTTGTCGTGTTGGCCGCTGACAGATGTCACTCAGGGCCGCTGAAAACATAGGTGTGTGTGTGCGAGACAGATTTGTGACTTCAATTTTGTGAGGCTACGTTTCAACAGAAAAATTGTATACTGTTATCGGGTATTTGCGAGTTTCTGTCGGCAGTTTTAATGCATTCAGAAATATCAGTGGATGTTAAGTATAACGGTCACTGTTTCAGTTAAACGAGGCTGTTTAAAGTTTCAGTTCAGCTGATCGCTAAGTGTGCGATCAGCTGTTGACAGAACAGCTGTCATCCGTACTTAGGAATTTCGTGCACGAGAATGTCAGACCGCCAAGCTAACCAGGCCTGACTGACAACATAACGACCGGCAGAGCAATAACAAGTTACCTCCATAAAGAATAGCTGCCTCGGTTACTCAAGCTGTCGTGGCCCTAAAGTGTGGGCAGCTGGACACAGCCAACGTCAACATAAACAAAAGCACGTGGCAGGTCGTCTCTATGTTGCACCACGCGCCGCCCCACCTGAGGCTAGACTTGCCGGCCATTGTAGGATGGGCATCGCTGGCTCACTTGAAGCTCCACGCTCCACCACCCATCCTCCCTCACGCCCACGCTCGTACACCTGCAGCTCACGCCCCACCACCCACCCTCCCTCACGCCCACGCTCGTACACCTGCAGCTCACGCCCCACCACTCACCCTCCCTCACGCCCACGCTCGTACACCTGCAGCTCACGCCCCACCACCCACCCTCCCTCACGCCCACGCTCGTACACCTGCAGCTCACGCCCACGCTCCTCCTGCCCCAGGTAGGCAGCTTGGATTAGTGCCCGGATTATCTTAGTCTGTTGTAGGTATATTTGTAATGCGTTCCTATTCCTCACCACCTTTCCTGCCAACACTACCTTTCCAAACCTTGACCACCTTCCCTACCCTTCACCACCTTCCCTGCCCTTCACCACCTTCCCTACCCTTCACCACCTTCCCTACCCTTAGCCACCTTCCCTACCCCCTCACCACCTTCCCTACCCCCTCACCACCGTCCCTACCCTTCACCACCTTCCCTACCCTTCACCATCTTCCCTCCATTTCTGTGATCTTAGTGAATAACGGGTCTTTTATTTAGGGAGGTTGGAAATTAGTATGAAATGCCATAAGGTGCTATTAGATCTCCCTATAGAAGAAAGACGACATGTAAAGGAGTTGGGGGTTAATAATGTCGAATGGTGTAGCGTTTAGTGACCATACAAAAGGAAAAGTGGAATCAGCCAAGAAAATTATATGGTGGATAATAAGATCCTCCATATCTTCAGAGAGGGATAACCTCTCTGATAGCCTCTCTCTACCACAATGTTCCTACTTTCCAAATCACATGTATTTTCCTACCTTGAGTACTGCTTGGTAATCTCTTCTTCTTTCAAAGCAAGATCAATTTTTTTTTCAAATAGAGGAAGTCTGGTAAATATATACGGGACGCATGAACACCTTAAAGCACCTAAATTATTGGGACCGTCTCGCAGCACTCAAAAGGTGCTGCGAGGTCTTCAAAGAGACGAGAGAGGTATCATATTTTATATATATATATATATATATATATATATATATATATATATATATATATATATATATATATATATATATATGCGAACAAGTCTGAACGGTCTCCGATATATATAAAGTGTGTGTTTTTGAGTCATGTCTTGTAAATATGTACTCATAATTTCAGCTTTGGCTTATAGCCTGAAGCAAAGATACATTATCTGTTACAGGTTTTGTAATTCATTACCGCGAAAATCTTTCATTACCTTGTGTGTCTTTGTGAATTAATGCACGTTTGGTTATCTTGTACAGGGATGGGGCGCGGCGTTGGGAGCGCTGGGTTTCGTGACCAGGTGGTAGGGCTGGGCTATCTGTGGGAGACGTGGACGGAGGCGGAGCAGGTGGTGGTGGTGTACTCCCTCATCAGGCGGCTCAGTCCAATCCCTGCAAGATTCCTCCTGAATGTGCTCACCCACACCACCGCGCCCGACGCCGCCGACCTTGCCCCAGCCGAGGCCACTGCCAATGACCCAGGTAGGTTTATAATGGTATGCAGACTAGGAGTCACAGTAACGTGGCTGAAATATGTTGACCGAACCACACACACTAGACAGTGAAGGGACGACGACGTTTCGGTCTGGCCTGGACCATTCTCAAGTCGATTGTGTCAAGAAACGTCGACGTCCTTTCATTTTCTAGTGTGTATGGTTTGGTCAACTTATAATGGTATGTTTTGCTGACATTTGACTAAGATAGGGAACTTGTGTATCGAGTGGATAAAACACAGAGCTGACGACGCTTTGAAGATGTATTTGCTTTTGTGCCAGCTGCTTCATAATGCCTGTCTGAGTTATTGCTTTTACTTGCTTTTCTTTTTTGACATGTTTTTTTGCAGCCAGTGATTGTTGTTTTGTTTGCCTTTGCAGTTTTATGTTGATTGTTTTGCATGACTTGACTGCACAGCACATGCCCGTAGTGTGGTGCAAGTGACGACAAGAGCCACAACACGACATAGGCTTGACGTGTTGACTGTCTCACCAGACCAACACAGATAACCCAGACCTGAGCCAATAATTCCTGTAGTGATCCCTTAGAACTGAATTCAGACTCCCGTAGACTGAAACTGTGACTCACAGTGACTGTTGTTCAACCGTTGAGTTAAAGTGAACACGTCTTATACAGGTGAGTCATAATTTGTCTTTTCCAGGAAGTAACCACAACAATTATATAAATTATCTTGTTAATTGTTGGCAACAAATTTTTTGCTCATTATTACATTCTGTAATTATTTGTCTACACTCTTGGATAAGAAGAATACATTGGGACTGTAAATTTCAATAAACTTGGCAGTTAAGAATTGTTATCATTGGAGCTCTCACAGAAACTCATACTAGAGATTACAGGAATAGTAAGGATTTGGATTCTGAGATATTATGATATATAAAGTAGGTCTCGATCAACTTCACCGACCAGGCGATCTGCAGTGAAGGCTGCTAGAGTTCAACTGTCAAAACTGTCAACACCCAAAACTGTTTTTTTTTATTTTTTTTAAGTGTAGTGCAATGTGAAAAGCTGGCAACGTTGTTTTCCCATCGTGAGTTAAAATGAAAGGGGAATGTTGACATTTTTCTGGGAATGCTGGGGAAGATGTGATGGCCGAGTCTGAGAGTCAAGATAAGGTTGTGCATTGCTGGACGGATACGCCTGTATTCCTGGTGTTTTTAACCGTCTTGGGGGCCATTGTCAGTAGTAGAATGACTGGCAGGAGAAGATTGATTGATTGAAGATTAAGCCACCCCAAAAGGTGGCACGGGCATGAATAGCCCGTAAGTGGTGGCCCTATTGAGCCATTACCAGTATCAATAGATGATACTGGAGATCTGTGGAGGTGCGACTGCACCCTGCGTGACGGGAGATGTCTCCCGAAGGCAGGAGAAGAAAAGCAGACAGTTATATACGGCCACCTTGTGGAGAGCCGGAAGGTGGGCGAGGAGGCTGGCCGCTGGCTAACACACAAGGGGACCACCTGAGTGAACCAGGGGCCAGATTCACGAAGCAGTAACGCAAGTACTTACGAAAGTGTACATCTTTCCCCAATCTTTGACGGCTTTTGTTACATTTATTAATTAGTTTACAAGCATGAAAACTTGCCAATCAACTGTTGTTATTGTTATAAATAGCCTCCTGGTGCTTCAGAGCTCATTAACTGTTTAATAATTGTAAACACAGCCGCCAAAGATTGAGAAAAGATGTACAGGTTCGTAAGTGTTTGCGTAACTGCTTCGTGAATCTGGCCCCAAGTTACCAGCGGGAAACAGAATTACGCGAGACGGGAGTGAAAGAGGAAGGGACCGTCACGGAAGAAGAGTTAAAAAGATACTAGAGGATAAGTAGGAGAATTCCTGCGATGCCTCAATGACAATTAATTATACAAGGAGGCACACACAGCCCCGCTCCTGTGCCAGGTAAGTCCACTACGGGCTCACCATAGCCCGTGCTACTTGGAACTTGTTCCGAGTAGCTGAATCTATAGCAACAACATTATAACAATACAACACAGTGGAAGGAATATTATTAAAGTTTTCTTTGTAAAGAAAAAGGTGTCTATAGAAAATGGACAGTGTTTAAAATTTTTCGGTATACTCATATATTTGTTTCCGTTCGAGCGAGGGGGGGGGGACTAACATAGACGCATTGGTCAAATTTGCTCATGATGATTGAGATGATTTCGGGACTTAGCGACCCCTCGGCCCGGTCGTCGACCAAGCCTCCTGGTTACAGGACTGGTCAACCAGGCTGTTGGACGCGGCTGCTCGCAGCCTGACGTATGAGTTACAGCCTGGTTGATCAGGTATCCGGCAGAGAAATTATATAAACTCATTCAAAGTGAACGACCATACCTGGCAGGGTACAATGAGACTATACGTGCTACATAGACATTCATATAGACTTTGGGTGGAATTAACATCAGTGTCAGACAGTGTGGGTGTGGCTCACACCACCACCACACAGTGTAGGTGTGGCTCACACCACCACCACACAGTGTGGGTGTGGCTCACACCACCACCACACAGTGTGGGTGTGGCTCACCACCACCACCACCACACAGTGTGGGTGTGGCTCACCACCACCACCACCACACAGTGTGGGTGTGGCTCACCACCACCACCACACAGTGTGGGTTTGGCTCACACCACCACCACACAGTGTGGGTGTGGCTCACACCACCACCACACAGTGTGGGTGTGGCTCACACCACCACCACACAGTGTGGGTGTGGCTCACCACCACCACCACCACACAGTGTGGGTTTGGCTCACACCACCACCACACAGTGTGGGTGTGGCTCACACCACCACCACCACACAGTGTGGGTGTGGCTCACACCACCACCACCACACAGTGTGGGTGTGGCTCACACCACCACCACCACACAGTGTGGGTGTGGCTCACACCACCACCACCACACAGTGTGGGTGTGGCTCACACCACCACCACCACACAGTGTGGGTGTGGCTCACACCACCACCACCACACAGTGTGGGTGTGGCTCACACCACCACCACCACACAGTGTGGGTGTGGCTCACACCACCACCACACAGTGTGGGTGTGGCTCACATCACCACCACACAGTGTGGGTGTGGCTCACACCACCACCACACAGTGTGGGTGTGGCTCACACCACCACCACACAGTGTGGGTGTGGCTCACACCACCACCACAGTGTGGCGTCTGTCTGTCTGTCTCTGTGTTCATTGTTCTTATGCAAACAATATTTAAATGTATGCTACATATTCGATAGCTTTAAGAAAATGTAATGATATATGCTATTATGTGTTTTAATATTTAAGAAATTATAAAAGGAAGAAATTATAAACATGAAGCCTAACATGCCGTTGTATCAACGTAAAAAAAATGTTACCGTTATTTTCTGCGTTGAGGCGTTTGGCGCATGTTGGAGGATTGAATATTCTTCAGGGGAGAGTTTGGGCGGGAAAATTCAGTTGTGGCGTCAAATATCCAGAGAGTTTACAGTGTGGTCACAGATGAACCGGTGCTTGGAATATTTTGTATTTACGCACAACATAGCTGGCTCAAGGCTCTTGACACACCTGTACCCCTGGCTCTTGACACACCTGTACCCCTGGCTCTTGACACACCTGTACCCCAGGCTCTTGACAAACCTGTACCCTGGGCTCTTGCCACACCTGTACCCCTGGCTCTTGACACACCTGTACCCCAGGCTCTTGACACACCTGTACCCTGGCTCTTGACACACCTGTACCCCAGGCTCTTGACACACCTGTACCCCAGGCTCTTGACACACCTGTACCCCAGGCTCTTGACACACCTGTGACACACATGTAGTCTACCACAGCTACATTTATGCACACGCACATAAATGTTTTAATAATAGAAACGCGCATGAAATTTGTTTTGTTTTTATTTATTATATTTAATAATAAAAAAAAGTTGTTGCGTGCCTGGAATACATTCATATTCAGGGGGTAGATAAAACTTCATTAATATGCCGTAAGTAATAAATTATGTTCCCCCAAATGCAATTTCATCACTGCTGTAATTATATATATATATATATATATATATATATATATATATATATATATATATATATATATATATATATATATATATATATATATATATATTTATTTATTTATTTATTTATTTTATATATATATATATATTTTAGAGAGAGAGAGAGAGACAGACGGCGTTCAGATCAGAAACACAGCACAACGGTGTAATTCTGTATCTCGGTGTAACCTGGCCGATGTAACAGGCAGTAACATGACTCGGCTGGCTCGTCGTCTACTGTACTTAGGACTAATGATACAAAGACCAGTAACTAGGTTGTTTCATTTTTGGATGCGCGTTCACAAGTGCGCTTGTGAGGCTACAAGGTGCGCACAGAAACGCCGTTCAGAATCAGAAACACTTGAACAGCGCGACGTTGACATTTGAAAGGATCCAAAGCGTAGAAGTGGCAAAGAAATATGAGCGGGTTCAACGGAACGGTGTAGAGACAGTCGCTGTGCGCATGACTATTCTATGAGGTTGATGCGTAGGACTTCCGTCAGTGCATTGGTCAAATGATAGCGAGCCAAGCGTCGCTTAGGAACTCGAAGCTCGTACCTGCAAGCGCATGTAGGTGAGTGCACCTGCCGGTACGGGGAGGGGTTGATGGTGGGGGGAGGTGAGGTGGGGATTGAGGGAGGGTGAAGGAGGAGGGGGATGAAAGTGAAGACAGAGGTCAGGTTGGGCAGCAGCACTGAGCCATGAGGAAGCCACTCCGAAGAAAGGGAAAGTCCATCCAGGCTAGACTCGACCCCTTCATCCCCCCTCCCTCCCCCCATCTCCCCCCTCCCCCCCCCGTCCCCTGACCCAAGTATGGCCCACATGTCTCCGTCTCGTGGCTCAGTCTCACACTTGCTATTGTTTTCTGGTGGTGTGGTGTCATCCTTGTCTTTCAATGTCATATGGATGGGTTAAACTCTTGTTGGCCTGCAG